AGAGCACTTTAACAGTACACTGCCACAAGAAGATTATCATTTAATAAGTAACTTATTAAATGGCCTAAGTTAGCTCTCCGTTTCCAACTTCACCAAAAACGTTTATGTGCTTTGAGCACATCTATAATAATAGACGTTTAAATTTAAATTTGATTTGTTGCAGGGCCGTACCGACGGGGGTGTGTGGACACACCCCCCACCTAGATATGCAAAATTATGTCGGTTTTTGACGAAAAATTCGAAAATTATGGCTTCTGTCGGTTAAAACTGAAATTTGGCTTCTAAAAAAAAACAAAAAAAAAACAATCTTGTCGGTAAATTTAGCTTTTTTCATTTTCACCCCTCCCCCCCCCCCCACGTCTTTGTCGTTCGGTACGGCCCTGATTCGTTGGAAGAAATTTGAATGGTTGTTTGAAAATTGGTCGTACATTCGTGGAATTTTTAATTTTCTTGTTTTAAATGACGCATAAAACTTTTTTTTAATTTTGTCGTTAATAGTTTGAAATTCTTTTGAGGATGGGGGGGGGTTACTCCCTTTAAAGGGGGTAAGTCTAGCCCTCCTAGCAGTGGCGAATTAAAACTTCTTGGGCTATTGTGGTTTTTGTAGGCCTTTTTATGAGCCAGAGCCTAAAAGTGACTAAAAAAAAAGGTTCTCAAAAATTTAAAAGGCCCCTAAATTTGCGGGGCCTTTTTTTAGGAGTAGTTACCCCTCCACCCCCCATTTGTATGGGCCACTGCTACTGAATGGTCTAAAAGGTCTATATTGGGCAACTGATTTGTCATAATGTCATCATAAATGACAAATAATGCTTTTAACATTTTGTGGTTATGAAAATAACCTTTTTTTTTAAATCAATAAATGTGAAAATGAAGAGCTTAGTGTTGGCTTTTAATTTGAATTAACGACTTTCTTTTTCTTTTTGGTAAAGGATTATTTTCAGTATCTATGATATTATTGCTGTTAGATTGAACATTACCATTAATTGGACGAACTGAAAACTGCGACTTGATTGTATTGTCGTTGTAGCCAAAATCTTTGATAGACGGATTATCTTTTCTGCGACCAATAGCACGTTGTCTACCAAAATAGTTTTCAAGGTCATCTTGGCAGAATCTCTCAGAAAAAACAAATTGAACACCATTTTCAAGTAAAAATTTAACAACTTCTTTGAATGAATGCACTGTAATTTGCAAACCTTCATAAGTTTGTGTAGAAATAAACATTTTTGATTTTGAGCTCTCATCAAAACTTCCTTCTCTTTGATCTATAGATTCTTTCCACAATTTAAAGTATAGGAGAAAGTTATCTAACCAAGTAAATCGTGAATCATCTACTGTTTCATATGGTTTTAAAAATGGCTTTCTTTTCGTTATATATTCAGCACTATTTTTTACATTAAGACAATCAAAAAACATATCCATCATTAAACAAAATTCTGCTGTTCCAGCAGCTTCTGGTGGTCCAAACTGCTTTAAAACATTTCCGACTGTTTCGCTCAATACTTGGGATGCAAGTCGTACTCTCATTACAGAATACGGTGTTAAGTTTATATGATTGCTTGTTAGTTTAGGAACAAGTTTCAAACCTCTTTATAAATCGAAATTATAAAGTGTTGTAATACGATTCCAAAGAAGAAAAAATCCACTATTCCACATGTAGCGTGATTTATATCCAGAACCAGAATTACTTAGGCAGTTTCTAGAAGTTTTAATTAGATGAGGTACATCTGCAAAGAAAAAGATGAATCAATTATCATTACTAAATAAGTTTTTAGTGCGATATATAATGTTTTTTCCTGAGCCATAATCTAATTTCTTATGCATTTTAAAAAACTTTCTATTTGGAGATGCACCATCAGCAGTTGCAGCAATTACTTTCAAATTTATACTTTCAAGATAACGCACTGCTTTCCAAAATATTGGCATAAGTTGTGTTGATGTTACTCCAGTTGTGGCAAATGTTGCTAGACTATAGGAAAGTGGGTTTACTACACTTATAACATAAAACTAAAACATAAGATGCTAGCTCTCTTACATTTTTAAGTGTTGCATAGTTTGTTTGAACATCTCCTAAATCTACAAATCCAATCAACTCACCAGAGTACTTATCCCAGACCAAATCTTCTTGAACTTTCATTTCGTCAAACAAAATTGTAACAAATCGTTCAGCACTAGAGAAACTAGCAGTTTTATATGCCAGATCACTTATGACTTGAGGAATAAAACCTCTTGAAGGATGTATATAATTTTTATAGTCTCTCAATGTGCGTAAACTTGGAAGAACTAAAAACCCTGAACCAGTCTTACTATCAAAACGCAAATCAGAATATGCTGACGAAGATTTAGCTGCTAATTTAAGACAAAATTTTATTATCATTGGATGACTTTATGCTACAGGGACTAGAAGCTTGAATATATTTTTGCTGCTCGTTCCAAAATAGTTTTATGAAGTCTGGAATATTTTTTTGATTAAAACTAGAATACAATGTTTTAAGGTCTTGGTCAAGTTCTAAATTAACCTTTTCACTTTCCATATTTAAAACTGTTTTCATTTGTTCAATTTGACTTTCCAAATGTTTGCATTTTAAACGTTGTTGTTGCAAAGTTAATTAAATTCTTTCTATGGAGGTAAACTTAAGAGGAGCGTTCAGTTTTGCAGGTTGTTTTACAGTTTTATTTTTATTATTTACTTCATAATTAGATTTAAGTTGCAAAGAATGGCATGAAGAACAACAACTTTGGGATTTTATTAAAACATTACAACACGGTGAACAATAAAACTCATCTTGATTTAATCTAGGTTTATTAGGAAGCAGCTTAAAAAGCAAGTAATTAAATTTTTTAGTTATAACATGTTTTTCAAATTTAAAATTTTGGTTAATTAAGTCTAAATTTTTTACTTTAACACCTGGGCAAAGAATAAGAGTTTCAATATGACTTATAAATTTGGATAAAGAAACATTAAAAAAAGATTCTTTATATTGAAGGTACAAAAGATGATCTATTGGTAACATCCAACCAAAAATTCTTATACAATAGTCTAGCAACTCGTCGACATAAATTTCGAATTTAGGTAAAATATGTTCTGGAGAACTACAAGTAATAATTGCAAATCTCTCATCGAAAGATATTTTCCATCTTTCACTTAAAGAGAGTTTTAAAATACGTTTGGTAAAATCATCAAAAGATTTGTAACATAACGGTGTAGTTTGAGAAATCAACTCTTGAGTTTCTAAAAACTCCTCACGTTTTGTAATAGATAGCAAACTTCGCTGCGATGGATTACTTTTCTTGGGAAGATTTAGGGTTGGCAATGCTCCATCCTTTAAAATCTTCCGAGATGAGTAAACCCAAAATTGATCTTCAGTAAAGTGAAGCTCACAAATATAAAGATTAAAAGAATCAATTCGTTTTTTTAAAGAATCATCGATGAGTCTGTCTCTAGTAACTACGTTAATAAGGTCATTACTCCATTTCTTATTTGCATCATTAAATTCACCAGGCATATCAAGAAAACTAATTTCAATCAAAACACAAATATAACTTAATAAAATAACGGGCAAACGCTAACAACAAGGTAAGCGAAAGATACTATGACCCACGATGAGGAAATAAAAATATCTTTTAATTATGCAAACTTTGTTATTACGTCATGCTAATAATGTAACTTAACATGCTAATAATGTAACTTAGCAAAACTGTTCTAAATGTGTAAACTTTTTTAAAAAGTATATATGATGAGTCTTCATAGATGAAACATGTTTCACAATACTTTGTGTTAACACAGAGTATTGTTCTCATTATGAATGATGAAACACAATGTAAAGTGAAAAAATTAAAACTTATTTTAATTTAAAAAAACGATTTTTTAATATTGTTGTTTACGCGTTTTGCTATTTCATTTATATAAACTTAACTTAACCAACTCCTATATTTTAGCTAAATATGTTGTTGTTGTTAGTTTTTTGTTTGCGCCTTGATTGTCCAAAAATTCACGCAACGTTAATTAATATTAGCATGACGTAACACATAGTTCGCATAATTAAAAGTTATTTTTATTTCCTCATCGTGGGTCATAGTATCTTTCGCTTACCTAACAACAACAATCTTTTTGTGCAGGTTCGGAAGTCCGGAAACGAGAAAAAACAGTATGAAAGAGTTAAAACAATACGCTTATTGTTCGCTTCCAAACTATTCTTTCTTATAACTATGCTGAGATCGATCCCTGTTTTGATTGGTTAATAATTTTGAGTTTCGCAGAGTCCGATTTTAAAATTTATCGTTAGCCGTATCCTATGACTAAAGTGATATACATATATGAGATTTTAGGAAATTTTATACGCAAGTGGGTTAACCTCATCTTCAGCTATATTAAATTTTGAGATCCACGTGGGCCGACAAGCTTGTTGATTTTAAAGTTGTTTTTTTAATCGGTTTGTTTGTTGAATTTGAAAAAAATTTCATTACAATGGTAAGTTTTTCTATTACTAAATTTATTTTTATTATAAAAGTTCTGCAATAAAAATTAATTAATATTCGTATATATATAGTATATATATACAGTATATATATTATATATATATATATAGGTACGTGGACTGATTTTTTTTAATTTATTAAATACTAGAATGTTATATATCATTTGAAAGCCCTCAAATACAGTATTTTAAAGGTGAAAAAATTATGAAAATCGGACAATTCTATCAAAAGTTATGACGTTTTAAGTAGCAAATTTTCGATTTATGGATTTCTTGATAAAACTGTGGTCAAAAAAAATTTTTTTTTCACATAAATTGTTATAACTTTGCTAATTCTTATTCAAATATCTATAACTTTGTATCGAAAGATAGGTGTAAAAAAGAACTATAATTTTCAATTAAATTTTAGGTCAAAGGCGCATCCAGGGATCCGGACGGGGTGCTAATCCACCACCTACACCTCACAAAAATACACTTTTTTTCATAAAAAAGTGTTTTTCTTTTAAAAATTACAAATATCTATATACAAAAAATTGTTATTATTTTATTCTACATCACTAGTGAATATTACAAGTCTATCTCAAAGTCGGGTGTTGGGTTTTGAATAAGGTTTAACACCCTATCAAAATTTCATTCTTTTAAATATTTCAATCTTTACTAAAACAATTAATTTTAGTATAAAAAATAAAAAATATATTTCGATACTTGTAAAAATAGTAACTAGTGGTGTATAAATTGACTTCATGGAAGGGGGTGTAAGCCGCCCCCTTCCGCCCAATACCTAAAAAAAAAGTTTTAATTAGAATTTAACAAAAAAAGTTTAAAAATGCTTTTTAACCACATATAAAATAGTATAAAAAACTGTTTTACCATGTTACAGTGGTGTATAAATTGCCTTCATAAAAGGGGTGCAAACCGCCCCCCTTCCGCCCAATACCTAAAAAAAAGTTTTTATTAGAATTTAACAAAAAAAGTTTAAAAATGCTTTTTAACCACATATAAAATAGTATAAAAAACTGTTTTACCATGTTGCAAGACTGCAAATAGATACAGCAAGTTTTGTGGCTTGCAAACAAGTACAACAAGTTTTGTGGCTTGCCATTAGGTAAAGCAAGTTTGTTGTTGAACTCCAACCTAAAAAAAAAACACAAAGCAGCAAGTCTTTTGAAATAAAAAAAAGTAATTAACTATTGTCTTGGCTTTTAGTAAATGATTTATGTTTTGAATTCCATTTATGAACTAAATAAATCATTTTTAATGATAGACACCATGTGAAGGTAAGCCAGAGCCATCTATCAAAAAAAATTTGCAAGCCACAAAACTTGCTGTACCTATTTCCAAGACACAAAACTTGCGGTACTTGTTTGCAAGCCACAAAACTTGCTGTACTTATTTGCAATCCACAAAACTTGCTGTACCCATTTGCAAACCACAAAACCTGCTGTACCTATTTGCAAGCCACAAAACTTGCTGTACCTAATTGCAAGCCACGAAACTTGCTTTACCTAATGGCAAGCCACAAAACTTGTTGTACTTGTTTGCAAGCCACAAAACTTGCAGAACTTTTTTTTCAAGCATTTTTACATTATTTCATATTCAAACTAAGAAAATATTAACTAATACAACATCAGCCGCTAGCTGGATTTTTTTCATCTTATGCTCAACAGCTTCAATATCAGTTTTATCTTGTTTTCAGTAAGAAATAGTGTAAATTCTATCATTTTGTCTTTTGCTTTTTCTAGTCTACCATCATAAATGATAGACTTTGATGAGTCAGTATCATACCATTCATGACAGAGTTTTCTGCCAGCAATTTTTCAGACATCACATCATCTAAATCTTCAAGTTGTTTTGCAGATAAGTGTTTGTATAAATTCATCTTTTCAATGATAGTTAAGATTTCAAAGCATTATGAAGCATTTTATATAAACCCTTACAAAAAAAAAAAAATTAAAAACTTTTATTTAGAATTGGCTTATTTAATATAAAATACTTTTATAAAATATAAATAAGCATTAAAGTTTTTCAAAAACGAAGAACAATCATAAAAAAATATTTCAATTTATACATTAACCTGCAGAAGATTGTGCTGCAGGAACTTAAAGTTAAAAATTGATGTAAACAACAAAAATAAAATGAAATTGGGGTTAAATTTATAGTATAATTTTAATGAGATAGACTATGCACTGCTAACAAAGAAATAGTTTTTTAACATACCAACCAAAGCAGATGTAGATGCAGCTAAAAATCAAAAAAAAAAAATGTAATTAACAAAATAAATGACTTTTTTAGAAAAAACAAAACACTGCTGAAAAATATTTAGTTTTTAAACTTACTATTTGTGAAAAGGATGTACTCAACCAAAAAAATATTTGATTTAGGCATTAAATTATTACAGAGATTAAAAAGTAATAGCTTTTAAACTTAGTAACTGTGGCAGATATAGATTAAAAAAAGGTGTAACCAAGTAAAAAAGTATTAGAAATTGGCCTTACATACACATATTACATACAAAGTGAACAAAGAAATAGCTTTTAAACTTTCTAAATGTGGTAGATGTTGATGAAACTAAAAGTAAAAAAAAGCTGTAATCAAAAAGAAAATTGAGTTTGATATTAAATCTATAGTATAGCCATAACAAAAGAAATGATATCAACATCCACAGCAGGTGTCGATAAAGCTTAATGTAAAAAAGGTGTAATTAATAGCAAAAAAGAAGGATGTAGATGCAACTAATATCACGAAAAGATGCAATATAAAAATAAACAAAAAAAGTTGAAAATGGGATTAAATCAATACATTACTGAAAAAGAATTGACTCTAAAACTTACCAACTGTTTCAGATGTAGATGGAACTAAAACTAAAACTAAAAACAAAATGGATGTTATCTACAAAAAAAAAAAAAGATATTGGCAATAAATCTTTCACAAGTTAAAAAATAATAGCTTTTAAATTTACTAATCACAGTTGTTTAAGAAATGACTTGAGATAAAAAACATATGAATTAAACCAAAGCATACATTAAATTTCTACTTATATAAACATGACCGAAATTGCAATATACAAACTTACCAGTGGAAGGCTGAGTTGATTGGACTAAAATTAACAAGAAAACTGTATATCAAAATAAAAAAAACACCTTAAGTTTGACAACAGTAAGTGAATAAGTGACAACAATCAAACAAGTTCTGGATAATGTGCAACAACTTTATTGATAAAGTATATAATGAAAACATAATTACACAAGTAAACATTAAGAAAGGTTGTATAATGATTTAAACAATAAAAGAAAGATTATAAAAAAGATATCTTTTGTATTAAAAAACTTTTAAGACATCAAAATGTTTATTTCATTATGAATAACATTAAAGATTATATTGTTCATGTCATCCCTATATGTCACTATTATCTATCATATCTATACATCTATACATCACTATCATATCGATACATCTATACATCACTATCATATCTATACACCTATACATCACTATCATTCCTATACACCTATATATCACTATCATATCATATCTATACACTATACACTACTATCATATCACTATACATCACTATCATATATCACTTACGGAATCTCAAAAACTGATGAAATAGTAAGCCTGCATCTAAACAAGAAAGAAACATTAGAAATGTTTGTGTAATGATTTAAACAATAATTAAAAGACTAAGTATTATACAATAGATAAATCATAAAAGATTAACATACCAAATGTTCTCAATGTAGATAAAACATAAGGTAAAAAAAATGTAAAGAACAAAACATACATAGTTTTTGCCAACAAATCTATACATAGTTGTTTTTTAAAAAAAGTTTTCAAACTTACCAACCATAGCAGATGGTGACAAAGCTAAAGGTAAAAAAATTAACCAAAATAACTTTGATTTCGACATTAACTCTATACAGATCTGAAAAAATTTGTCACTGGCAGATGTTGATAAAACTAAAAGAAAAATAAAGTGTCATCAAATAAAATAAAAAAAGGTATTAAACTTATAGTATAGCTTTAAAGAATAAGTAGAAACACCTAATAAAAAAATACTTATTTAACTTACCAACTGCATCAGATGACGATGAAGCTAATGTTAAAAAAGGTGTAATATATAAAAAAAAAATACACATTTTTGGCAACAAATCCAATAAAACAATTTTGTAAAGAGCAAAGAAAAGTACTGTGTAAATAACAAATAAAATAAAGGTGTAAATAACGAAAATTAGGGGTTACTTAAAAAAAAGCATTGAATAGGTTTTATCTAGTCAATGATTTTCAAAAGTTTAACAAAAAAATACTTGTTAAAGTAATAAACAATAGTATTATTATGAAAAAACATATGAAATTACTATCTGTTTGATTACCCAGTTCATTTATATTATTCATTTTTTTAATTACTAACAATCTAAGTGAAACATTATGCAATAAACATTTTTAAAGAAAAAAAAAACTCTCTCCCCCTCAGCCCCACCTCGGCTATTTTTGAAAACAGAAATTAGGTACCAAAAGTGTTTAACTGAATTAACTAATTGCTACATAATATTTTTTCATGAAATTTGGCAGGTGCAAAAGAAATGCATGTAGAAACTTATTTAAAAAATCAAAAAAGCGGAATATAGATTCCTTCAACAATAATTGAACAAGTAAACATCAACATAATTTTCATGAGCAAAATAGTCAAAAAAAAGGTATGACAATCGTGTAAAAAAATAACACAAAAAACAAGCCTAACTCTTCTTCTTTCTGAAAATATACTATGTGTATATACGTTTCTGTAAAAAAAACCAACAAAAAATCGTTTGCCTAACCCTACTCAAAATAATGAGACGGGAAATCCGCTAAAAAAAAATCGGAAAAACAGAAATTAGGTACTAAAAGTGCTAAACTGATTTAACTATCTGCTACACAATATTTTTCAATAAAATTTGGTATGTGCAAAGAAAATGCATGTAAAAACTTATTTAAAGAATCAAAAAAGCGGAATAAAGAGTC